GGATTTTAGACTGAATTTTTGAATGTTTAAATTTTGTGCATAATATATTTTTTTGGAAACGTTTACTTTATAAATCTAGGAAGGAGGAAAAGTAGCATAGTTTAATTTAAAATCAGTGACAGTATAAATGAAGATGCTCTATGCTTCCTCCTAAATCAACAAAATTATACATCTCAGCAAGGAATCTTGCCCTTATTCCTTGTAATAATATAGCAATCTTTAATATTGAGTGAAATGCATTTCTAAATGGTATCTAGTTGCAATCAACTAAAAAGGGGCATTTATTAACTTTTTTGGCCATGATAGTTTACAGTACAGGTAAACTTCAGTATCTCGACATCGGATATGTCGACAACCTGGGATATGTCGACGTCCGTCCGCGGTCCCAGCATTGTTTACTATATAAAATGATTTGCAAAAACTTTGATATGTCAACCTCGGTAATGTCGACTACACCGCTTATCTCAACGTATATTCACAGTCCCAAGAGCAAAATTTACCTGGTATATGTCAACATCGGGGCAATTTTCTGACTTAACCTAATTGTTTGTCAGCTGGTACCTTGTCATGCATGGACGACTTAGTGTATCTCAACTTTGTCAGAAATTCACACCTTTCACACCCCATGTTTTGACTACATAATGCTCTGTATATATGTGTTTGTAGAGGAATCCCAAGCCCCCTCGGCAAAACCAAGAAGTTAATTGTTTAATGTTTAGCTTGGGTAATACCATTGATAAATCTCGATTCTGCATAAACGTGAACCGTTTATTCATGTCGAAATCTAACAACACTTTTAACATTTTGTAAAAAAAAAAAAAAAAAAAAAATAACTGAATAACAATGAATATTATACACATTGAATTAAATTTCACATATAAATTGTTGCATTCAACAGGACATAATCAAATCTATGATATGCACGACTATTCCCCATTTTCAAAAGTGAGTTATCTCCCCTCAAAATCGGAACTCTTCTTCACTAGCATAACTTCCGCGGACTACGCATTACGATAATCCAACAAAATAGTGATCAACTTACACACTGCATTTAAAAATTTTAAAAGAAGGAAATGGTTTGCAATTTTTTTTTAGATAATAAACGATTTTTAAAGGGTCTGTTAGCCCCCTCCCCTTTCTAGAAAGCTATACGAATTAGCCAGGCATGTAGAATCGTCTTTAAAAGATGGGGGGGGGGGGGTAACCAAAGAAATATTTTTTTTCTTACCGGGAAAAGTTGACAAGCAAAGAAAACCTTGCCAAAAGTCGAAAAAGCTACTTATTTCAGTACCATTTCCTTGGCATACAATATTACATGTACATTTCCCTTGTATGTTGGGGAAAAAAAGTGGGGGTGGGGCTTAGGCCCCTTGATCCCCCCCCCCCCCCCCCCCCCCCCCCCCCCCCGTTGCTACTTGCCTGTTAGCTGGCAAACAACTTCATCAGAAATTTGCAATTTTATGGTACGTTATTGTAATTTTTTCTTAAAATCTTACATGTATAATCTACGGGATACATCGTATTTATGTCTTAAAAAGGATAATTTACAAAATACACGTAAGTTTTTAATAAGCGTTGTGGTGAAACCGGGAAGATGAATTTCGCTGGATGTCAGTTGAGTGTTTTACACACTTGAACTCAGAACTGATCATAACTCCATAAGAATGTTTCAAATCAACTTTCATACGAATTTGATTGACATTGAGGTGACGCACGAGGGTTTCGTGCGTACAGGTACAGAGAACGAATGTGTAAATGGGTTGGACAGTTGAATATGAACCAAAGTTGTGGAAATTAAAAATTATTAGAATTATTAATTGTGAATTCAATATAATTACGGTACATATATTTTTTTTTTTACATATATACATGTATGTCAGTTACACGGGGTTTCATGAGTCTCTCTCTCTCTCTCTCTCTCTCTGATATTGTTTTTTACACACTTTGCAAAAAAGAATAACTTATAAAAATAAATACATGTACTATTGTTATTTTAATTAGTCTTTCTTCGTTACATGAGCACATGAGATTAAATTATTCATTTAGAATTCCATTCAAAGTTTTAATACTATACAGTGAATCAATTATTTTACAAATAAAAAATTCTGGAAACACGGTTAATTCAAATGAAATAGGCCTTTAATTGTCACCAAATGTGTTCTTGTAAGTAAAAGTTCTATGTTATGACATACAATCGAGCAAAAACGCAGTTTCTTGGTATCGGTCGCGGAAGACGAACTATATACTGCTGTATATGCAGCAATTTCAAAGGTAAAACTGTAGATGGATATGTCATCAGTCTCCAAAAAATTCCTAGAGATGCAGAGAAGAAAACCCGAAAATTAGCTTTTGTTTAAAAAAAAATAGGCCTATTCGAATATGTATCAGCATTTTATCAGTAATTTGTTTCGTTTTTTTTATGTAAAAGGGGGGGGGGGGGGGGGTCACACAGCGCCTTATTATACTACTATACAGTTTAATACAAATCCAGAAAGAGACTATGAGTGGGCAATTTAAAAAAGATACGAATCAGTTAAGATTTCTTTTTATTCACAAACACAATAACATTTTTCCATATGACAGAGGCATTACACCATGAACATGTTTACATCAAGAACGTCCGCGGAAGTAACTTTATTTATAGCGCATGCGTATTAAGCACAGTAAAAGAGTTCCTTTCAGGGGAAATAACTCACCTTTTGAAAATGGGGAATTGCATCATCCGTAATATGAATGCATGTGTAACATCATTAAGTTTGTTTAATGCGCAATTCCAATTAAATTTTGTTTTGAATATGAAAGGAAAATCAATTATGAAATAAAAAAAGAAGTGAAATGAAATTTAAAAAATATATGCATTAATTTTTTACCGTATCACAGAGGTCGACTTTGTACCGTTCCAGTTTGGAGTTTATAGAGCGCATTTCGTATCCTGTTCTGACAGAGCTAGTTGCACGCAGATCGTATGCTGGATGGAAAACTGATTTTAGTAAAATGAGAAGATTTCGATTTGAAAAGAAAGCATTTCATAAATTACATTTGTGAATAACTTCTTAGATTTTCTAATAAATATATTATTATTGTCTTATTGAAGACGTGTAGGAAGTTACACATCTGTTCAGATTAGGTCTATGGTTTTACTTTGCTGTAAAATAAAGAACGTCTAGTCTCACCTCGTATATCTCGACATTTTCTGATGGTTCCATCGATGTCGAGATAACAAAGTTTACCTGTATTTTAAATTTTCTATTACTTGACCTGGAAGATTTTAAATTTTCCAGATAAATTTTAAAAGAAACCTCTATTATACCTCTAAGAAAAAAATCTGAGTAACATTTATAGCTCACCTGAGCCGAATGCTCAAGTGAGCTATTTCTGATCAAAATTTGTCCATTGTCTGTCGTCATTATCAACTTTTCACATTTTCATCTTTTCAAGAACCACTGGGCCATTTTCAGCCAAACTTGCCACAAAGTATCCTTGGGTAAAGGGGTGTCAAGTTTGTTCAAATAAAGGGCCATGTCCTCTTCCAAGGGGAGATCATTATGAAATAGTGAAAAATTGATGGCATCTTTTTAAAAATCATCTCAAAAATCACTTGGCTAGGAAAGATGAAAATAATGTGGAAGCATCCTCAGGTAGCTTAGATTCCATTTTGTTTTCAAATCATGTTCCTCAGGGGTAGGGTAATGTCACAATGGGGGATCAAAGTTTAACATAGTATATATAGGAAAAATATTTAAAAATCTTCTCAAGAACCACTGGGCCAGGAAAGATGAAACTCATGTGGAAGCATCCTCCGGTAGTGTAGATTGAATTTTGTTCAAATCATGACCCCCAAGGTAGGGTTGGGCCACAATTGGGATCAAAGATTAACATTGGAATACATAGAAAAAATCTTTAAAAATCTTCTCAAGAACAGCAAAGACAAAATTGTCTGGGGGTTATATTGAAGGGACAAGTCACATTGCAAGGGGAGATGATCAAGAAAAGACAAATATAGGGTGGGGTCATTCAAAAATCTTCTCAAAACCCACTGGGCCAGAAAAGCTGAAATTTATGGGATAGAGTAGATTCTGAATTGTTCAAATCATGAAATCACAGGGTAGGGTTGGGGCCACAATAGAGAATCCAAGTTTAACATTGAAATAAAAAAATAAATCTTCTCAAGAACCACTGATTCAGAAAAGCTGTGACTTGTGCTGTAGCATCCAAGGGTATTATAGATTCTAAATTTTTAAAATCATGATTCTAGGGGTAGGGTGATGCCACAATATTGCATTCAAGTTTTACATCGAAATATGTAGGCAAATCTTTATAAATCTTCTTAAGAATCACTAAGCTAGAAAAGACAAGATGAGGTGAGCAATGTGGCCCAAGGGCCTCTTTGTTTTGAGAAATAAGATTGAGATTGGAATTATTGAGCTTTTGCAAATGTAAATATTGGAAGGAAGAAAAAACCCGATTTAATTCACATAATTGGATCTGGAATTAGATGACACAATTAGATGTTAGGAACTTTGAAGCTTTGGTGTGTTTTATGTAAGCATTTTTAACTGGAACATCTGGTGCAGTATTGAGTAATTAGGACAATCACCTCATGTTGTAATTAATGAACCTGAACTATTTCATTTTGTTATCAGTTGGTATTGGGGCCTGAGAAAGCTGCTGATAAAGAAGGGATTCTGTAGTTAATAGTTGTACTCTTTGTTTTCTTTCAAGTAAAGATTACAAAGGCAGCTAGGTTAGCAAATCTAAAAAAAATGTTCGTTTTTGTTTTCAATTTCAAGCTTTTAAGTGCATAACTTAATAAATCCTCATGGTCTTTGTTTTTAACAGTAATTTTTTTCTGGCAGATGAAATATTTAACTCCAAAAGTGGTAGAAATAGCACATATTTCTGAAAGATTAATAATGCATATAATTTTAATTATACAAGAAATTTATTCATTTTGAAATTTCAAAGGATAACTTTTTGCACACCTGTATTTTGATTTTCAGTTGATTCAGATGATGATGATGAGGTTGAAGAAGATGATGATGATGCAGCATACTATGAACAGGAAGTTGGGGAAGCCCCTGATCCAGGTACAGTATTCATTATCATACTAACACTTTGTTTTCATTTTTAGGTCACCTGAGTAAACTCAGGTGACCTATTGCTATCCGTTTTCGTCCGTCGTGGTGCGTTGTGCGTCGTGCGTTAACATTTGAACATTTTCAGCTTCTTCTCTGCAACCACTGAACCAATTTCAACCAAATTTAGCACAAAGCATGGGTGAAGGGGAACAAAAATTGTGAATTTCATGATCCCTGCCCCCCTGGGGCCTGAGGGGTGGGTCCAAAACCACTAAAGTTAATGCAATCTTTAAAAATCTTCTTCTTTACTCCTGGACATCAAGCAGTCAAACTGTTTGCATGATTGTAATCAGCAATGAGTCCTCTACCACAATTGTGAAATTCATGGCCCTGGGGTGAGGGGTTCTATTTCTAAGGTGGGGCTAAATAAGTAGGTAGTGAAAATGCATTATTTCTTTGAAAATCTTCTTCTCTGCTCCTGGGTATTAAATAAACTAACTAAGTGCATAGTTATGATGAGCAAGAGTGCCTCTACCAAAATTGTGAATTTTATGGCCCCAGGGTCAGGGGTTCTGGTGTTAGGGCGGGGCTCTACTGATTATATAGTGAAAATACATGAATTCTTTGAAAATCTTCTTCTCTGCTCCTGGGTATTAAATAAACTAACTAAGTGCAGAGTCATGGATGAGCAAGAGTGCCTCTACCAAAATTGTGAATTTTATGGCCCAAGGGTCAGGGGTTCTGGTATTAGGGCGGGGCTCTATTGATTATATAGTGAAAATACATGAATTCTTTGAAAATCTTCTTCTCTGCTACTGGGTATTAAATAAACTAAGTGCATAGTTATGATGAGCAAGAGTGCCTCTACCAAAATTGTGAATTTCATGGCCCCAGGGTCAGGGATTCTGGTGTTAGGATGGGACTCTATTGATTGGACACAGTGAATACATGAATTCTCTGACTCTTCTCTGCTCCTGGGTATTAAATAAACTAACTAAGTGCATAGTTATGATGAGCAAGAGTGCCTCTACCAAAATTGTGAATTTTATGGCCCCAGGGTCAGGGGTTCTATTGCTAGGGCGGGGCTCAATAGATTATATACTGAAAATACATGAATTCTTTGAAAATCTTCTTCTCTGCTCCTAGGAATTAAATAAACTAACTAAGTACATAGTTATGATGAGCAAGAATGCCTCTTCCAAAATTGTGAATTTTATAGCCCCAGGGTCAGGGGTTCTGGTGTTAGGGCGGGGCTCTATAGATTATATAGTGAAAATACATTAAATCTTTGAAAATTTTCTTCTCTGCTCCAGGGTATTAAGCAGATGAACTACCTATATAGTTATGATGGACAATGGCCCTAATCTTCCAGAATTGTGAATTTCAAGGCCCCAGGGTCAGGGGTAATATGGGGGTGTGTACTTATATACTGAAAATGAATGAATGGTTTGAAATCTGCTCTTTGGTATTAATCAAATATCAAGGATAAGGGTCAGGGGTTCATGTGTGGTAGGGGCACTACTGATTAGGCCATAATAAAAATATTCCTAGATTCTCATCCCCGCCCGCCCCGATTTTATACCCCCGCCTCGATTTTTTTAATTTCTGTATTTCTTCATATTAATTCTGATCAGGGTCGGTATTTATCTACCATTCTACTTTCGTTTTAAATCCCGCGAAAGTCAACATGATTTTGACAGCATGATGTAATACATGCGTACATATTTTAAACAAGGGTCATTGGTTGAAAAAGATTGGTGATGATGTGAAGTAAGAGATAATTGAACCTTTACTTTGACTTTTATTCTGATATTGTAGATAAAATTACACAGATTGACCAGGTCAATAAAAAATATGCAAAATTGAAAAAATAAAAAATATAAAATAAAAGCCGCCCGCCCGCCTCGATTTTTAAAAAAAATTGGATGAGAATCTAGCAATTTATTTATTATGGCCTTAATGCTGAATATTACTGATTAGTTGAAATGCATTTCTTGTTCCCCTACCCTGCATATGGGTATTAAGTAAACAAACTAAGCAACTGCTAAGTGTATTGTTATGATGATCAATGGTGCCTCTTTCAAAATTGTGAATGCCATAGCATCTGGCTTAAAACATGAATCAAATTCAATCACTGGAAAGTTGTTGCATAATGCTCAGGTGACCTATAAGGCCCATGGGCCTCTTGTTATTTAAAACATTTTTTGCAAGTAAATCTAATTAGAATTTCAGTGTAAGACATTTCCTGGATGTACTCCAAATATATATGTATACTACATGTATATCAAATTTAAGAATTTGGGTGATACATGTACATGTAAATCTGTTTTTGTTACAAACCCATTAAGGGAGTTCCCTATAGTGATAGTCTGTCCATCCAAAATTCTTTGTCTTGAGCATACAGTATTTTCTATCCACTTAGGCAGTGCAGCTTAAACTTTTTCAATTGTCTGCGAGTTTTTAGGTCACCTGAGTAAACTCAGGTGACCTATTGCTATCTGTTTTTGTCTGTCGTCGTTCGTTAACATTTGAACATTTTTAGCTTCTTCCCTGAAACCACTCAACCAATTTCAACCAATTTTGGCATATAGCATCTATGGGTGAAGGGGAACAAAAATTGTGAATTTCATGGTCCCTGCCCCCCTGGGGCATGGGGGGTGGGGCAAAAACCACTAAAATTAATGAAATCTTTAAAAATCTTCCTCTTTACTCCTGGACATCAAGCAGTCAAACTGTTTGCATGATTGTAATGAGAATTGAGTCATCTACCAAAATTGTGAAATTCATGGCCTCAGGGTCTGGGATTCTAGTGCTAGGGCGGGGCTATATAGATTATATAGTGAAAATGCATTATTTCTTTAAAAATCACCTCCTCTGCTCCTGGGTATTAAAACAGCGAACTAGTACATAGTTATGATGAGAAAGGATGCCTCTTCCAAAAATTTTGAATTTCTTTGGGCCCCCGGGTA